GCAGGTTCAATTATTGCTGGGGTAGATCTAATTTTGCAGGGGGGTGTATTGTTGGAGGAGATCTATTATTGTGTGAGGGTTCTATTGTTGCTGGGGAGGATCTATTGCTGCTTGGGGGTTTATAGTTGCTGGGGGGTATGTTGTTGCTGGCTGCAGGGGACCTATTTTACTGCCTTTCATTAACAAATTCCATACAAATTATTTAGCAACACAAAATGATACTTGGTTCTGTCTTTGCTAAAGACAGTGGTACTAGAAAGCAGGGCTGCTGTTAGAAACCACAGGGCTCCATACAGCCAACCTGACAGGGCCCACTTGAAAAAAAAAAACATAGTTTACTATGCATCAGTTATGAATGAACAGAATGGGTGATCGGTACCAATCCCTCATTGCATTCATTCAGGAAAGTCAGGGGCTGGTAAATGTGACATATTTACTGGACCCTTCCCTTAGTCTCCATCCAGAAGGAACCTTCCGTGTGACTGAAGTTGCCGGTGGAAAGGAGAGGGGGGGAAGCCGGCAGCACTGTAGGGGTGGGGGCCTGGGCAGCAAATGGAAACATATGGAGCACAGTGAGGGTGATGAGTGCAGCTCCGCCACTTACCCACCTTCTAGCACAGCCGTGGATAACCGTCCTCCCGTACGGTGCCCAGGCCAGCAGGGGGGCCCAGGCAGCTGGGTGAATCCGATTTGTGGGCAGGGAGGGTCGACATGGCGGAATGGCAATCAATTTTTACCTCTCGCAAGGGCTGTTTTTCTAAAAGAATAGGTGCAGCTACTCACCCCCTTCTCTTTGCCCCCTACCCACCTCCAAGCAGGTCCCTTTATTCCAACCCCTACCCACCTCCAAACACATCCTTGGGGGGGCAACTACTAGAACCAATCCCCTGTATGGCTCTATCTGCAGTAGCTGAAAGCCAGCAGGAGGGAGAGCAGAAGAAGCCAGCTTTCAGCTGCTGCAGAGAGTCATACAGGGGATTGGTTCCAGTAATTGCCCCCCCCCCCCCGCGCACTTTCGATCACCCTCCCTGCCCACAAGAGGACTGGTGGTACCCCCTTATCCACGGCCCTGCTAGAAGGTGGGGTAAGTGGAGGAGTAAAGGGACGTGTTTGGAGGTGGGTAGGGGTTGGAATAAAGGGACCTGTTGGCCTGAGCACCATACAAAAGGACGGTTGTCCTCAGCCCTGCTAGAAGCAGGGGCAGACTGACCATTTGGAAACTCGGGCACTGCCTGAGGGCCCGGGGTCAGTGGGGGGCCCCATGAGATGCCCCTGGTACCTTTTTCATAGGCTTTCTTGAGTTTGGGCAAGGACACGGGTTCATGGGGCCCCATGAGTTGTCAGTCCGCCCCTGGCTAGAAGGTAGGTACGTGGTGGAGTAAAGGGACGTGTTTGGAGGTGGGTAGGGGTTGGAATAAAGGGACCTGCTCGGTGGGTAGGGTAGGGTCACGCTCTGTTGGCTCCTCCTAGAGCGTGACGTCACAAGCTGCCTGGAGCCACGAGGAGGCCCGGCAGCCATTTTTAATAAGGGGTTAGTATTACTCTTCATTATTACAGTGATTTATGGAGTATTTACTACCCTGTTTTTACTACTGCATCCTTTGAATAAAGTCTTCACTACACTATGGGCACCTTTTTTGGCTCCCATTGGAGCTAATTAATTTCCAGGACATCCCATTGCAATCCACTACCACCAGAGGGAGGGAGCCCTGTATCCAGTCTGTGCACCCATCCAACCTTAAGGGGACCTCTGGACCTAGCAGTTTTTATTACACACCACCAAGACAAGATTACCTACTTTTAGATGGAAGCTCACCTACTCTGCCTTCACCTACTCTGCCTTCCTAAGTGATCTGGGTGGATACTGATTACATGCGCAATATCTATGCGCGTCCGGTGAGTGCGCACTTTTATCATTTGTTCCTGTGACAACTTGCCTTGGTACACTGCTACTTCAAGTGGATCATCTTATATATTTTACAGACTATTTATTCATGTGTTTATATTATTTATGGGACATTTTAGTATTCATTTATACTTCTTACATTTACTGCTAATACTTAGCGCTGCACTTTAATTTACTTATAATTGTGGTGCTATGCACACTTTATACATTGCAGCCATACAGCGCAGCAGGGATGTTTGGATGACAGGAATAAGAGCATCACTTTACAAATTTACGGCTGGGAATTGAGATGTTCAGCTCTGCAATTAGCTGCTCAGCTGAAGTTGCCCTTTAAGCCAAACAACGTATACACATGTGTGCTCACCCAGGACACTGTAACCATAACAAATTGGCCCAATCTATCCCACTACATAATATAACATAAATTATGCATCACTATTACTTTAACCGGCTGCCTTTTAAGTATTTCTGCATCTTCGGCCACAAGATGAATAACCATTAGCAGCTTAATGCATTGTTACTGTGTAAATTACCTAATTTTACTTGCGGTGGAATCAGTTTTATCGATCAGCTTTGCAGCAGAGAGTACTATGCTCCCCTTATTTATCTTTGTGATCCATACAGAGATTGTGGCTGTAATGTTGACAATTCAGGTTGTAGTACTGCAGTCGTATTAACAGCAAAATACATTGGACTTCATGTAATTACACATGTGCTCTTCATTTCGTTCTGAATCAAAATTCGGGCACGTTTTTCATTATTTGGAGATTCAGATATATCTGAAATTCCGAATTACAATAGTAACAAATTTAAACGAATCCTAAATAATGAAATTTCATCCAAAATTTGAATCAAATTTGAAAATGAAAACTGAATTTAGAAAACAGAATAGAAAAGAATGATATACAGTGGATATAAAAGTCTACACACCCCTGTTAAAATGTCAGCTTTCTGTGATATAAAACAATGAGACAAAAGATAAATTATTTCAGAACCATTTCCACCTTTAATGTGACCTATAAACTGTACAACTCAATTTAAAAGCAAACTGAAATCTTCTATGCGGGGGCAATAAACATAAAAAACGAAAATAATGTAGTTGCATAAGTGTGCACACCCAGTGGTGTATTTAGGTTTCGTGCTTCTACATGCAACAAAAAAAATTGTCTCCCCCCCCAGAGAGAGACCCTAACACTGACAAACACCCCACTCCCCCACGATAAGAGCCTGACATTGACCAACAACAGACCACCCCCCACCCGATAGATCCTCCCACTACCACTGCCCCATACACACTGGCAACCCCCCCCCTCACCCTGATGAGGGAGAAGACACTCACCTTCACAGCTCTGGACATCCCCAGGAACAAGAATCAGGCTCTGATACACCATCAAGCAACCTGCAGCCTCGCTCATCTGCCATGCTGCGTGTGTCCTTTCTTCCATCCCTTCTGAAAAATGCCACTGCCCCCCTGAAAAAATGCCGCCCTAGGCAAATACCTTGTTTGCCTTGTGGCAAATACGCCCCCGTGCACACACTCTAATAAATGGGGATGTAGCTGTGTTCATAATTAAGCAATCACATTCCAAATCATGTTTAAATAGGAGTCAGTACACTCCTGCCATCATTTAACCACCCACCCTCCTGAGGATTTACCCCCCTTCCTGACCAGGCCATTTTTTGCATTACAGCGCTGCGTTACTTTAACCGACAACTGCGCAGTCATGCAACACTGCACCCAAATGAAATTTACGTCCTTTTTTTCTCACGAATTGAGCTTTCTTTCGGTGGTATTTGGTCGTCTGTGCAATTTTGAGAAAAAAAAAGTTATTTTTGACTTTTTGCTATTAAACATGTCCAGTAAAAAAAATGTTAAAAATCAAATTTCGTCATTAATTTAAGACAAAATGTATTCTGCTCCATGTCTTTGCTAAATAAAATCCCAATACATGTAAATGAATTGGTTTACGTGAAAGTTATAGCGTTTACAAATGGCAGTATATATACTGGGAATTTTTCATTTCTACTAGTAATGGCGGCTTATAGCGAGACTGCAGGACTGCAACGAGTCTTCTGACACTGGGGGGAATTGACTTGGTGTCACCCAGTGACACCAATACAGTGATAAGTGCTAATAAAAAGCACATGACACTGTGCTACTGGCACTGGGAAGGAATGGGTTAACATGAGGGGCAATCAAAGGGTTAACTGTGTGCTGTTTTACATAGTGCTGTGTCCATGTGCTTCACTGTAAGCACACTGCTTCCCATGGCTGTGCTGTGCACAGCCATCCAAAACAGTGTGCACAAGCTGACAGAGGAGAACTGTTTTGTTTACAGTTCTCCCCCCCCCCCCCCCCCCGTCAAAGATACTCAGCAATCACCAAGCACTGGCGAGTAATCACCAGCCGGGATCCGGTGATTGATAGGCTACCCGGAAATGCCATGTCGCGTAAATATACATGATTTTGCGCACCTGTGCCGCCCTGTAGCAGTATTTCTGCTATAGAGCAGTTGGGAAGTGGTTAAAGTGCCTCTGATTAACCCCAAATAAAGTTCAGCTGTTCTAGTAGGTCTTTCCTGACATTTTCTTAGCCGCATCCTACAGCAAAAGCCATGGTCCACAGAGAGCTTCATTAGATATACCATAGAACACAGTGAAGACAGTCACCATCAAGCAGAGAAAATATGGCACAACAGTGATATTACAGAAAACTGGACGTCCCTCCAAAATTGATGAAAAGGCTTGAAGAAAAGTGTCTGGAAGGCTGTCAAGAGGCCTACAGTAACATTAAAGGAGCTGCAGGAATAAGTGGCAAGTACTGGCTGTGTGGTACATGTGACAACAATCTCCCGTATTCTTCATATGTCTGGTCTATGGGGTAGAGTGGCAAGACGGAAGCCTTTTCTTATAAAGAAAAACATCCAAGCCTGGCTACATTTTGCAAAAACACATCTGAAGTATCCTAAATGCATGTGCAAAAATGTGTTATGGTCTGATGAAACCAAGGCTGAACTTTTTGGCCATAATTCCAAAAGATATGTTTGGCACAAAAACAACACTGCACATCACCAGAAGAACACCATACACACAGTGAAGCATGGTGGTGGCAGCATCATGCTTTGGGGCTGTTTTTCTTCAGCTGGAACTGGGGCCTTAGTCAAGGTAGAGGGAATTATGAGTTCCAAACAGGGGCGGACTGACCATTTGGAAACTTGGGCATTGCCCGAGGGCCCGGGTTGGTCAGTAGGGGGCCCCATGAGATGCCCCTGGTACCTTTTTCATAGGCTTTTTTGAGTTTGGGCAAGGACACAGGGGCCCCATGATCCCCTATTGCCCGGGGGCCCCATGAGTTGTCAGTCCAACTGGTATATTGACTGGTTCCAAATACCAGTCAATATTGGCACAAAACCTTCAGGCTTCTGCTAAAAAGCTGAACATGAAGAGTAACTTCATCTTTCAACATGACAATGACCCAAAGCATACATCCAAATCAAAAAAGGAATGGCTTCACCAGAGAAGATTACATTTTTGGAATGGCCCAGCCAGAGCCCAGTCCTGAATCTGATTGAAAATCTGTGGGTTGATCTGAAGAGGGCTGTGCACAGGAGATGTCCTCGCAATCTGACAGATTTGGAGTGATTTTGCAAAGAAGTGTGGGCAAATATTGCCAAGTCAGGATGTGCCATGCTGATAGACTCATACCCACAAAGACTGAGTGCTGGAATCAAATCAAAAGGTGCTTCAACAAAGTATTAGTTTAAGGGTGTGCACACTTATGCAACCAGATTATTTTAGTTGTTTATTTTTACTTCCCTCCACCTAAAAGATTTCAGTTTGCTGTGCAACTGAGTTGTACAGTTTATAGGTTATATTAACCATTAGCCGCCCGGCCAATGGCCGTTTGGCGGCTTGAAAAGCGCTGCAGCTTTCCGGGTGCACGCCATTTGGCGTGCTCCCGCACATGCGCGGTTTGCGCGGTTGCAGAGCGACGCAGCAGTGCGATCTGTCACCGCCCGTGCACCTCGGACACGGCCGATGACAGATCCGAGTACCGGCTCCCGTTGCCGGTACCATGTGACCTGCTGTGACCAATCACAGCAGGTCACATGACAGTTGTATACAATGGATGGCTTCATTCATGATGCCATCCATTGTATACTAGTGCCTAGCTGTGAATGGTCACAGCTAATCACATGCACATGTCATGTGATTAGCTGTGACCAAATCACAGCTAAGCACAAAAAAAAAAAAAAAAAAAAAAGCTGAATGAATCGATTTCATTCAGGTAAATGCTTGCTTATAGCAAAGTAATTCTTTGCTATAAGCAAATTGTGTAAAAAAAAAAAAAAAAAAAAAAAAAAAATACTGATCACTTCCCCAAAGTAGTACAGTGTTACTACGGTAACATTGTACTATTTTGGTCATAGTAAAATATGAAAAAAAATCTTTAAAAAAATTTAAAAAAATGTAATAAAAAATTAAATATAATAAAAAAATAAAAAATAAAAAAAATATATATATTTTTTTTTTTCATACTGTCACCAGTCAGTGTCGCTGTTCACCGCCATGCCAGTTATATGATGACGCTGTACTGCACTGGTGACAGTATGTAAAAAAAAAAATAGTGAAAATAATTTTTTTAATTTTTTAATTTTCCGAAAAATTATGACAAAAAAATACAACTTCAAAAAACTCGCCATGCCTCTTATGAAGTACGTCGGACTGTCTACTCTGCAAAAAGGGGTCATTTGGGGGATATCTGTACTGTTCTGACATTCTTGGACCTCAAGATATTAGATTGGCTGTCAGTACTTCAGGATTGATCAATATTCAGATCTATACCATAGTTTGTGAACTCTATAACTTTCCTACAAACTAAAAAATACATCCTAATTTGGGTTATTTTCACCAAAGACATGTAGCAGAATACATCTCGGCCTAAATTTATGAAGAACAATTATTTATTTGTAAACTTTTATAACAGAAACAAAGAAAAATGTGTTTTTTTTTTTTCAAAATTTTTGGTCTTTTTTTGTTAATTTAGCAAAAAATAAAAACCCCAGCGGTGATTAAATACCACCAAAAGAAAGCTCTAGTTGTGTGAAGAAAATGATCAAATTTTAGTTTGGGTACAATGTTGTATGACCGCGCAATTGTCATTCAAAGTGTGAGAGCGCTGAAAAACCTGAAAACTGGCCTGGGCAGGAAGGTGTAAAATTGCACGGTATTGAAACGGTTAAAGATGGAAAAAGTTCTGAAATAATTTTTCTTTGTCTCATTTTTGTACATCACAGAAACCTGACATTTTAACAGGGGTGTGTAGACCTTTCATATCCACTGTAGAATAGAAAAGAATAGAATAGAGTAAAACAGAGCAGAATAGAAAAGAGTTGAATATAATATAATAGAAAATAAAGGAACAGAACATATTAGAACAGAATAGAAAATAAATGGATAGAACAGACAAAAAAACAATAAAGTAAAATAGAATATAACCGTCTTCCAAAATCCGAATTTCGAATAGAATAAATTAAAATTTTTAATCGATTAGAATAAAATTGAAAAGAATACAACATAAAACAAAAGAATAGAAAAAACAATATAATAAAATAGAATATAACTGTCTTTTGAATAGAATAAATTCAAATTCAATACTTTTCAATTCGGTCGAATTGAATTCTATTCCACCCAATTCAGAAAATTCGAATAAAAAACAAATAAACAAAAGTAAATAAATTCCGAACACGAATTAAACGATTTTAAAGATATTAACTAAACAAAATTATTTAAGTAGTGAATCGAACTGAAACAAAACTAATGTTTTGTTCTGCACATGTCTACATGTAATAGCATAAGTGCAAATACCAGTGCTGAGTCGTAATCAAAAGCAATCAGATGGGGATCAAATTTATTTCGCTGGAGGGGACACTAATCCTATTAATATATATACAGTATAATTTATACATAACACAGAGCATCAATACTTTATGTATGAAACACTATATTTTAATAAAGATCTCAATGTGATAGATAGCACACAGTTGACCTGGTTTTGTATGCTAACTTTTTAATACTAAGTCTGATTCAGTGAAATGTTATTTTTCATATCATAAGCAATTTTGCTAAGAGTATACAGTATACACCATTTTCATTCTGTTACAGATCCCTTGACTTGTTTTAGGAATCAAATCAATGCAGCTCTGTATCTATTGATAAATGTTCTCAAGAAGCAAAAAGGTGAGCGCTGAAATAAAAGCAGCTAGCACCGGAGATAGTGACAATGAATCTTAATAAGCAAAATATGAACATAAAGTGCAGCGCATAAAACAAATATAGTGAATATGTAATAAATAAAAAAATGAGAATGAATATATATCAGTGCAATCGGTACAGTATCATATGTAAAAACATTCCACGTGGAGAAAGCTTGTAACACATTAAACATGCAGCATATCAAGATGGCCACCGTTCCGAGACGTGCGCATACTCCTGAGGATGTGCATGTGCACGAAACGCGTTGGATGGAGCCTATGTGCTGACGTCACGCCGCTGGTTTTTTTACATATATTTTAAATAAAATACTACACTATGTACACCATTTCTTTGGGCTCCGTGTGGTGAGCTTTTCCGCTAGGAGGTACCCCGACCAGCGGATGTTGGAGAGTGGATTGCATAGATCTTCTGGTACATTGGCTATCTAACAAGTAGCCATCTGGTGAGTGCATAGTGGTGGTGGATCCCAGAGCACTGTGTGGACCGGACACTTTTTGTTGTGATTAGCAGTATCACATCACTTTCACACTGATATTGGAAGGACTTTACATATGATATTGTACCAATTGCACTGATATACTCTATATTCATTCTCATATTTTTATTTATTACATATTCACTATATTTGTTTTATAGCTGTCACACTGCTCTCATCTCCTATCAGCATGCCCCTTATTAGCATTTTCTGATTGGACAAGGTGGAGACTAGTGTGTGACATAAATGCTCCACCTCATCGAATCAGGGAATGCTTTGCATTCAATCAGAGGTGCTGGTGCCAAGCAGCCAACCTCCTGAGTTCAGAATGCAGCAGTACAGCCTCTTGGCACAGGACCCAGAAGCAAGTGGAGATCACTAAGTCTAGGTTCACACCTAAGTATTTGCTGTGCATTTTGCATTTTGCAGAAATGCACTACAGTCCATTTAACATGATTTCCTATGGGACACATTCACATCTCCGCATTTTCACCCGGTGATTTTTTTGGAATGCAAAACATTGCATTTTTGGTTCAATAGACTTCAGTGGAGACACTGCAGAAATGCATATAGTGCGTTTTTGATGTGTTTTGCCTTTTAATCTGCCCGGCAACAAGTTGGAAAAAAAAAACACAAAACACATCAAAAATGCATCAAACGCATGTGCAAAAACGCCCCACAAAAAGCACAGCAGAAACGGATCAAACACAAACTGCATAGGTGTGAACCTATCCTAAAGTAGCAGTGTCTACTTCAGTGATTTCCAGCTTCCAGGCGAATCAGCCAGCTATGGTATATCCAAACTGGATCAATGTAACTATGTTTAAAATATTGATATTTGGAATTCTTTAAATAATCAGATTAGCTAGGCAACCAGCATTTTCAGAAAGAAACGTCAACAGTAGTTTAGGATCCCTTAGGGTTCATTTACACTTCTGTCCTCTGAAGAGCAATCCACTGTGGATCAGTTTTCAGTGAGTGTCTGACAAACAGTGAGGAGGCAATATGTTGCCTTTTCACAGCCCATGGAAACCCCTAAAAGCCTGCACCACCATGCTGCAACTGCATGCATTGCACACGGTTCAGGTCCGTTGCAGTGTTCCCCTATTAACGTGAATGGGTTGAGTTTGATGGGTGTTCAGGGGCGGACTGACCATTTGGAAACTCGGGCACCCGGGGTCAGTAGGGGGCCCCATGAGATGCCTCTGGTACCTTTTTCATAGGCTTTTTTGAGTTTGGGCAAGGACACAGGGGCCCCATGATCCCCTAGTGCCCGGGGGCCCCATGAGTTGTCAGTCCGCCCCTGTGGGTGGTACTGCCTTTTGGTACTGTAACAGGGGGTATCATTCTTGCTGTGCTGCGAAATAGAACATCTGGGCCATGGCAAGTATACGGCTCTGTCTGCCTGTCTGCCCTTGCAGCGTAAGCAGGGGTAGTATGCAGATCAGGAGTTCTGACATTACTCTGACTTCATTAGGTCTCTTTCAGACAGGCGGCTGGGTAGGCAGTAAAACAGGCGGCTGGGTAGGTGGTAAAACAGGCAGCTGGGTAGGCGGTAAAACAGGCGGCTGGGTAGGCACTAAGCCTGTAAATGGTAAAATAACAGCCAGACAGGGCTGTACACATGCCGA